ACATCACCATTAAAATTGATTTGGAACCAATACTTACTTTTTCTTGTCATTTAAAATCTATTTACACTCTTCCATATTTGAAAACAAATCCATTAATTATTTTCAACCAAGTTATTGTTAATTTAATTTCTCTAGAGTTTTTCTTTTTGTTACCTAACTTAATTTCTAGATCTAGCTTTATGTGAATATGACATTAATCTTATCAAGTTAATTGCTACATCGCACACTTGTGCACTTGCAAGTTAAAACAAGTCGATCATAAAAAGTAGTCAAGCACTTGTTAAATGGTTAATCTTGATTTGTATTGTATAACACTTGATACAACAAATGCTTGGCATTTTCATAGCAAACCGTATGGTATAACCTACACTTATACTATGAAAGGAACTTCATTTGTTGTTAACATAAGTTAGCATCATGAATTCCTAATATTATTTAAAAGTTTGGTGTTACTTAAATAAGATAATTAATATGATCATGTTAACAATTTATAATGAGCTATTAATGACAATTCATCCTATTGGAACCTCCTTTGTGTGTAGTTTCCAGTTGCATAATAACAAGAGTTTATATTATACTTATTTGAAATACCATTAGTGGATCCTCTAATCTTGACAACTATTTTTTTTTTATTATTTTTTAATCTTTACATTAATCTTACATCTCATGATCCTCTTTAACTTATTATTACTATTATTATAATATAGTTAACCTCCCTATGGTTCGACTCCGGTCTTACCGAGTTATTTATTACTTCGACACTCCTACATTTGGGAGAAGTAATCAATCTTTTAGTCATGTCAGCAATAGCGTTAAAAATTTGACATGACCAAAAGATTGATGTCTTCTCCCAAGTGTTGAAGTGTCAAAGTAATAAATATCTCGGCAAGACCAGGGTCAAACCATAAAAAATTAACTATATAAATTATAAATAATGATGATGAGGAGGAGGAGGAGGAGGAGGAGGAGTTAAAGAAGACTTTGAGATGTAAGATTAATGTGAAAATCAAACAATGATAAAAATAGTTGTTAAGGTTAGACGATCCACTAATGGTATTTCAAATAAGTATAATATAAAATTACTCAATAGAAACTACACACAAAGGAGGTTTCAATAGGATAATTTGTCATTAATAGCTCATTATAAATTATTTACATGATCATATTAATTATCTTATTTAAGTAACACCAAACTTTTAAATATTGTCATGACTTCATGATGTTAACTTATGTTAACAACAAATCAAGTTCCTTTCATAGCACAAGTATAAGTTATATCATACGATTGGCTTTGAAAGTGTCAAGTATTTGTTGTGCCAAGTGTTAAACAACACAAATCTAGATCAACATTTAACAAGTACGGTATTAAGAATTAATAAGATAAAAATAATAAAAAGTGTTAATAGCAAGTTGTTTAGGATATAATCATTGAAATCCATATTGAGTTTATATTATACTTATCCTAACACCATTAGTGAAATCTTTTCACCTTGACATAATAAGCTTAGTTAAATATAATGAAGAGCAGAAATATAAATAAACATGAGGACAACATAATTATATAATTATAATAAAAGAAATTAAAGGCATAAACAAGAGATTAATGAAAGCAAAACTTAAGCATTACAAAAATATATAAAAAAAGAGCAAGAACATAATCTTGATCTGAAAATCAAGATGCCTAAATGCATGGCAAATGCCTCCTTTTATAGGCTAAAATTTAAAACTATTGATTTGATGACTAATTATTGAGTGGGTGGCTATCTCTTGACTTTGTGACCATCATTATCTTCTTGTCTATCACAAACATCATTATAACATCAGAATTTGAATAGATAGTCTTCATGAAATTTCTAGGAAATTGTCTCAACTTTCAAAAAAAAAAAAACAGTGCATTTGGACTTCTAGAACTTAAGATATGGGTTAAACACTGAATAGTGTCTAGACTATAGGACAGATTCAAACTTTTCTGTTATTGCTATAATTTGAACTTGAAAACGGCCTTTTATCAAAGTTTTAGGCCTAAGTCTTAACTTTCTATTCATATAGAGTAGATCTAAATCCAAGTTCTATAACTCAAGTTATGATCCAATAATCGAACGGTGTTCTAGTTTGAACTGAACCAACATCTCTTTTCTAAACTTAACTCACTCTTTGTCTTCTCAATTTCAGTAATTAAACTTATTAATCAATTTTTTATTTATGTGATAAGCCTGCATTTAAGAATAACATTTACCATAAATTAAAGGTATTTTATATTATTAGACATGCTATTATAAAACATGCTCTAGTTAAGAAGTTATGAATATTCTAAGTTCAAAATAATGATATAAAACCTTGATAAAAAAATATATTTTTAAGTATTAATCACATACCTTGTTACAAATATGGCATCACATATGGAAGATGTTCTCCTTTTATTGCTCCACATTATCTTCTTTAATTTGAATGTTAAGCATATGTCTAATAACCAAAATATTCATCTTTAGGTGGGCACTCTACATCCCCATCATTACAATCCTCAAGTGGTAGTATCTTACCCTCTTCAGATTTGTCACTTTTATATTCAATCTCACTATGGTCCTTTAAAATCATAAACTTTTTATCTGGACATTGAGAAGCAACTTGTCCAACCCCCACACACTTGAAACACTAAATATCATGATAACAAATAGATTGAGTATCAAATTTACCTTTAGATTCTACAAGGACCTCTTTCTTGATTTTAGATGGTTTGACCTTAGCACCTATAAAAGGATTGGTTTGGGCAGCCCCCTCTCATTAAATGCACCCTTGTGATGATGAAGATCTTGAATTAAACACTTTTCATATAGTGCCCTTCCTTTTCAGTTACCTCTCTACCTTTATAACCATATTATCGTATCCTCTGACATTATATAATCTTGTAACTCTACTATAAAAGCTATATCTTGGTCCATCCAAATAAGAAGCCTTGTCATGTTTGCCTCCTTATCCTCCATTATATTATCTCAAATCATGACTTTCCAGGATTGTGTTCAAACTTTCTTGTGGGTTTCTAAATCTTTATATCCATGGGCTTTGCATCGCTATTACAAAACACACTATTTATTATATCTTATAATTTATTGCTTAAATAAAAAAAAGATGTGGATACTTATACATTAATAGCTATGTTTATTCTTTATTTTTTAAGCAAAAAAACAATTAAAGAAAAGCTAGCTTGATATAATCATGCCTAACTTTTCCAAGTTTCACAATATTAGTTATCTTTCTTTTAAAGAAGGTTTTTCATAACTAAAATTTATTCAAGGATATCTTCATTTTTTAACTTTGCACATCTCAAGCTCGTCCTCTAACCCTTTGATGTAAAGGATTGCTTTGTCTATAAAACAATAATAATTTGTTAGAAGTTATTTTTCATTAGACTCCTTTCAAACCAATACATGTTTTAAAATCATTTTATGAAAGACTAGGGGTTTTCTATATCAAAAAATACCAAAGTTTTAGGTATTTTCCTCAATATTTTCTTACCTTTTTTTAGTTGTTATTTTTTAATTTTTAGATGGTGAAGAATATTGGATAATAATATCGAATTTTCCCAATTATCCGCCAAATAATCCAATGTCCAAATCATTAGTTTCAAAACTTGTTTTAAGGTTTCAAAATCATCATCATCATCAAATTCCTCTTTAGAACTTTCATTCATCAATTCTAAGGTTATTTTTATGGATATCATAAAATCTTGAAACCATGAATAATTATTTATATTATCTTAAAATTTTTGTCATAAAACAATAACCAAATGTCACCTCAATCTTTTAATGTAAAAGGCATTTGTATTTACTATGAGTTTTTTAGGAGTAAGGAAGATATAAAGGGGTTTAGTTCTATTTTAATTGCTAATACTTCTTTTTTGATTGAATTGGATAATTCCTTTCGATTCCTGTAAAAGTTTGTTGACCTTAACAGATAATTTTGAGTCAATTATGCTACATTTTTTTCATTTATTCCTTTTAACGAAAAGAAACTACAACTGAACTTAATTTTTAGTTGAGGCAAATAGCAACCTCGCAAAATTAAATGAAGTGTGAGATTACAGGATCTCAAACCTTATAAAAGTTAAAACATGACAAGTGTTTAAAGAAGGAAACTAAATTGCTGAAATTTGAAGAAAACAATAAATAAAGCTATTAAATAACAATAAAAACTAGAAAAAAATATAAATTGAATAAATAAAACCGGTCATTGTTTACATAGCCTTTATATATTGATATAAAGTCTAAATCTTATATAAATATATAATTTTAACCCTATAAAGATATTACTAGATAAGAAGACTTCATTAAATCTTAATATAAACTAAATTTCTCTTATATTGGTATCCATGTGAGTAAATTTTAATTTGTGATTTTAGATTAGTAATTTATTGATGACTTTTGTCTTGCATGCACATAAAAATGCAACGTCATGTATCACATTTTGACCAGGAGTGGCATTTGAAGGAAGAAGTGATTGTAGAATTTGCTAATGAGAAGATTCAATTGGAAGAGCCAAGACATAATTACTATCTACTTCACCAGCCTGTATCACATTATATTGGTAACATTCATGGCTTGATGACATTTGGGGCTCACATCATAAGAAAACCTGATGGGGAGCTTACTACTTACAGCAACATGGGAAAGGAAGCACGGGATTATTACTTTTTTATTGTCTATGATGGACAATTGTGTCTCATTGGGCACTACATGTCCGGGCATCGTAATCTGTGTGTTTCATCTCTTAGTGTATCGTCTTTATTTAGCATTTGGTCATGTAGTGCATGTTATTGTCCCTTGTGACTTGTACAACAGCATGCACGTCAGCACCTAACTACTATTCATCAGCTGTCCTCTGCTTCGCTTATATAGCTTCTCTTTACTTCTTGATTAGTTATATCAAAGATGCATGAAACGTTCATTTGATTACAATCCATGAGCTCAACTCCACCTCCAATAACTGCTTCTAACACATTATGAAAATTATAAGTCATAATTTTCCCCATTTAACCACAAGAGATCCCAACATAGAGCAAACATTTTTCTACAAAACAACAGGCATAGATAACAAAGTAGGCAAAGAAAAGCTTAGTTTTCCAAACATTTCATTTGCAACACATTGAAGGTTTTGCAACTCATAGGTTGCATGCAAATCAACCAACACTAATGAAGATCGATATTATTACCAGAACCCAACAACCAGAAGAAGAAGAAGCGCAATACACATGCAAATCAACCAGCATTCATTCATTCCACAGCAAAAAGACTGAAAGACACCCTGTTGTGGAGTCAGAAGAGTAGGTATCGATATATGTGCCTCGAGAGGTGACTACTGATTTAATGGGCTGCCATCGATCCCTGAGAGCAAAACATTGACCAAGCCACTCATGTTAAAATCCATGCTGGGAAAAAAGAAAAAGTAAAGAAAAGAAAAGATGATCGTGCTATTGGCAAGGAATTTTATTACTGCTCAAGAAAATTGCAGGATTTTGGTTTCTAATAAAAGTTATTCAGAGGCTCATCAAGGTTCATCTACGAGTCAAGAGCAAAAAGGCCTAAATGAGACCCTAAAATAACATGATATTATTGTTCAGATGAACCCTCAATTGATGTTGTATTACTACCGAGTTTCTGCCTCAAAAGAGGGAAAAAAGAAGTGAAAAGAAATCTCCACTAAATGCCAAGACAAGGCGGAAAGTCATTAACAACACTGAGATATCTGGAAGAGGTTTACATATAGCGTGGAAACCCAGTAAAAATTACAACATAAAAGAGAGGAAACGATGATTAATTTTTGAAATTAAGAACACATATTTGTATTGACTTCATAACAACACAACGACACACATGTATTGATGAGCGAGAAGAATTTATAAGTGAAGTTAAAGATAAGAAATTGAGCAATTAAACAAAAATCATCAAGTAAAAGCAATTTGATCACTTGATTTCCATTACAATAGAGTTCTAGCAACGCAAATTCTAAAACAACTTCAAGCATGATTCTAGCTTTACAAACGAGAAGGGAAACTAAATGAATAGCAGAATGTCCACAAAACCAGCCAGCACATTTTCAGTTCTCTACAGTGGCTCTGCAGCCACCCCAACAACAAATGGGACCATAATAGGTATATTTTTTCTCTTAATCTGCATACACAAAGCCAGCCTTGCATATATGTAGGTATGGGAAATATAAGAAAAATATATCACAGTAAAAACCTTACCTCAACACCAAGGCCTTTTGGCATCTCTCCACTTGAACCAACGTTTTCTATCAGCTAAATTTCCTGGATGATGTCCATCAGCTTGCAAACAGTTGCCTCTGTCCCATGCAAGAGCCTGATTACATTGAAGTTTTTTATCACGGATCATAGCTTCCTCCCTATATGTAGGGTTAGTATATCTTGGATGTTGGATGAAATGAACATTCTTCCACCACAGTCTTAAGGCCTGCACAAAACATGGTGAACAGGACTGAACAGTTAATTTAAAGCAATGTGCATTATAGCTAGATATTTTACGAGTAGACAGGAGGGTACAAGTGTTCTAAAAGTAATGAGTCAACCCATTCGATATTCCAATATGAGAACCACTTTGCTGTTTCAGCAAGCTCTATTTTTGTTCTAAAGAATCATGAGGTGATGAACACTAGTGTTAATTCCAATTGAGACTGATATATCTGTTGGGAACATAATAAACAAGTTGATGACTTAAGTTCAGTTGATGCCTAAGATCACCAGCCAGAGAATTAAGTAGCTATTCAACTGCACGTACATGCCAATATATCCATAATGCAACTTTATGTGGCATCAGCCAGAAGAACATAGCATGATCAGACACTGAGGAGAGTCTTTTAGCTTTCAATGAGGCCACAAAATAGTCACCAAGCTCAGGGTGCTGAACTGAAATAAACACAGATAAACTGTCCGTGGGATCATTTGCTTTGATATTCCAATTCCCCAGCATATCCTGTAATTTTCCATAAAATGCATATAATTTGAAGAGTGAACTTTTCATCATAAAAAATGAGAACCATCAAATATGTTAGGTTGTGCATTGTTGAAAAACTAACACAAAAAATAATAAGAAAAACAAAGCATAATTTTTTACATAAGTGGTTGCAAGTTGTGATTCTCATATCACTTCACGTTTCCTAACCTTGACTTCTTAGCGTGTGAAGATATTTTAAATGTGAATTCTATATCTTAACTGAGATGGTCCTAAATCAATCGAACATACCAATACAAAAGTGGTCATTATATCCTGCTAAAAATCTACAAGTGCAAATATAAATGAGAACAATAAAGAAGCATCTTCCAGTATCTGAAACCAACATGAGCCAACTATATCTAGGAAAATTAAATCCACGACTCTCCAACCTAATCCCAACAATTTCAGCTCGTAGAAGCACCTTAGGCTTCAGCTGCCAATTGTTTTTCTTCCATTCATTGTTGCTGCTGCAAGAGACTTACACCAAACAAATATTTATTTGAACTTTGATATTGCACATCCAAGTCAAATGAGTCGTAGTTTTATGTAATAGAAAAGATGCAGAAGAGGTTCCTAAGTTGCATCATTTCTCAAGGCAAGAGAGAGGAAAAATAAATAAAAAAAAAAAAACAACATAGAAGATGTTGCTTGTTATCATAGAAAGCATTGAAGTGAATGAAAATTACAATTCAAGGTCCATAATGCTGCAATAAGCATCCCAAAAAAAAAAATACAAGAATCAAATCCTATTAAAGTGTTCTAGAAATCAAAAGAATACAAGAGAACCATAGATCGATTGGACTTAAAAAAGTGAACAAAATAAATAGAGTAAATTCAAGACATTGAGTTTATCATTAAGAAACAAATATATATTTGTAATCAACAACAACATTAAAGAGAAAAGCAAATATTTAAACATACCATAAAAGGGCTGACATGTAATGGTTTTGCCACTACATCTGAGTTAGGATGAAAAATGAAAACAACTCTTTCACCCCATGGAGTATTTGTTACCTAAGCCAGAATCACCAGCAAGGTCAGGAGAGAGAACATGGTCCATCCAAGCATCTTAGCACACAATCAAGAAAATAATTATACAGCAAACATTACGCTCTTACTGTTTG